TCTACAATCCTGCCCGTGTGTGTGCAGGTTGTCCTCAACTTATGACCACAGTGGGACCCGGATTTCCATCGCTAAGCAATTGTTAACATTTTACAGACTTCTTTTGCCCAAGTATTTCCTGTGGCGGAGTGGGGCCTTGAACTCGGTGCTCCCTGATCGGGCACCCGATTGTCTCCCGGATCCTTTCGCCTCAGAAGAGGATGTGGAACAAAGGTCCGTGTGGGGACCCTCGCCTAAAGGAGCCTTTTGCTAGTGCCGTGTCTTTGACCGTTGCTGGGGAGTGGTGTTTTTAAAGGAAGGGACGGCCTGTAAACAGAATGAAATTCTGAAACAAGATCATTGCTAAGACAAGACTACCAGGCCCCGGTTCCTTTTCTGAAAGGTCTCTCTTTTCATGCTCGGCATAATGGACTTACTACGTGCCCCGCTGCCTGTGGGAAGAGCCCTTTCACCCAAAGCCCAGGCGTGGCTGTACTCCGCATCCCGCTTCTTTGTCTCCTCGCTGGGAGAAACCCACGTTACTTGGGCTTTAAAATCACAGCCGCCCCGAGGAATGGCTAAGCCCCTTTCATTCAAGGATCTGTACATTATTTCACCGGTCAAAGTTTGTGTTGGCTGCAACATCTCAGCGATGGAGTTAGGTAAGAATGAAAACCAAGATTGTGCCAGGCATAAAAAGCCTCCTTTTTTCCCCCCCAAAGGCCATTAAGAAATTCCAGACGACGAACCGCTTGGAATGGGGACATTGAAAGGAGCTGGGCTAATTTGGAGCATTCAGATAGACCCCGGAGAAATTCCCAGACTGACAACCTGAAAGTGTGCATCTACTTTAAACATAAAACAAACAAACAAAAAACAAGATGAGTGAGGAATATTATTTAGAGACACACCGATGCAGCCTTGAAAGAAAGTGTTCAACACGGTAAATCACAAATAAGCTTTACTGCACAGAGTGGTTTCTTCCTTTTCACTGGGGTTTTTCAAATGGAAGCTGGCAATATTGGGCATGGTAGAACGACTCCTGTAGTGTGCAGGGGGGTTGGACTTGATGGCCTCTTTGGTCCCTTCTTCCAACTCTGATTCTAGGATGTGAATCACAATACTCTCTGACTTCCTGCCGTCAAAATTCAATCCTTGGAATTGTTATGCAGCTGTTCCTGGATGTATTTTTTCCCCCTTCCAGTTCTTTGTTCTTTTGTGTATTGTTTAGCCCATGTCCACCTGGAATTTAAGATTTCTTTGCAGCTTAAAGGCCATTAATTGTTAATACTAACCCTGTTAATAAGAGGCTGGCTTTGTTCCAGACAGCATGCGTAGAATGAGGATTATAAGGTGTTCGGTCTTTAGCGTCATGCCCTTATAAATACAAGGAAGGAAACACTGTGTGCAATTATAATGTGCCTAAAATAATTCTGAATTCAGCAGCAGCACCTTTTGCACTGTGCAATCTTTGTATTATGGGGATCTTATGAAAGGGCTATATTATATCTTAGCAGAGGAGAATATTTTGAAGTCACCTTGGCTAGTCTAATGATCTCTGTGCTTGCGTAGAGCGTTTTTATCCCTTGATGCTCAGTTTAATCAGAAAGTTAGTCTTGCAATTAAGCAGTGTCCTCCAGTCAGGTTGAGCTGCTCTTCCTAACTTGTGAACTGGGAGTGATGGGAAATGTAGTCCAAACCCCTGGATGGCAGCTGTTGGAAAAGCTGCCTTCCGTCTCTAGAACTGCTGTTGAGTTACAGATCACATTCTCTGTAGGGTTAAACTCAAGTTTCGATATATGTCGACTCGGCTTCGGTGCCTTTCGGATGAGTAGCTCTGCAGGTCAGGTGAAGTGAATTTGTCCTCTTTCATTTTTTTTCTTTTCCGTGGATTTTATTCCATCTCATTTCTGCTTGCTTTTTACCCATTTTTAAAGTTTGCACAAAAATCAGGCTGTGCTTTGGCCTTGCCAGTGGTCGTTTCTCACCCCCGTGAACTTACCTAAGTTGGCGAACTCATCTGGGCATGGAGAGGTATGTTTGCACCCTTGGCTGGTTTGCAAAACAACGTGGCCGAATTCTGAAAAAAAAGCAGAAATGCCGGAGATCTCCTGCAATAAACAGGAGGCTAAACTCTAGGGTGGCTTTGCCAGGAACCGGCAGCGAGGAACAGAGCAACAGAGCAGGAGAGCGCCTGATGTCTTCCTTCACCATGGCAATCTCTCTGGTAGCTGCTACTTCTCAAAGGGGTCTAGGACACAGAGTGAATTGGGGGAGGCACACAGCACAGTCTGTTCCCGCGGAAGAGAAGCAGAGTCTGTATTGGAAAAAGCAAAGTTCCTGTGCGGACTGTGGCCAAGAGTTGAGGCATGACAGGGTTTCTCCTGTAGGCCAAGGAGGGATACTCAAGATGAATAGATCTGTCCACTTGGAGGGTCAAAGGAAATTAATCCTCCTTATTTAGCCTCTCCAGGTGTCCTTGCAAAATGGAAGGGGGCCCCTTCTTGTGTTCTACACTGACCTCTGCATTGCCACCTTCATTCTTGGTGAGATGGACCTGGAGTCACTCCTCGGATGGCCTTCTGCCTTTTCATCCACTCTTGTGAAACTCTAGACCGTCACTTATGAACTGGTGTCCATCCACGCCTTGAGTTCCCGAGAGAGCTCCTGCAACGAAAGTTCAACCCAAGGGGCTTGTTTGCCTCCATCCTTTATGCTGTGTCCTCCTGTGGGGAGGAACGGAAGCTGCTGGACATCAGCCCTGAGGGCACCTGCTGGACCATGCCCATTCAGACAAAGGCTTCTCAGCAGATGTTTGTTGGTGCCAGCCTCAGTTTTCTTTCTGGGTTCTGCAAGGATTGGCTTCCTGCCAGCTCAGCACTGCCTGGTTTCTTCGAAGGCCTCCTCTGGTTCAGATGAAGGATCTCTTGATCAAAAATGGACTTTGGAAGGCACCGAATGACAGATCGTTGGGGGATTGGGGAAGCCCTTGGACAGTTGCACTCCCAACATGGAAGTCTCATTCTGTGGATCAAAATCACTAGTTGCCTATTGACTATAGCTCCAATGGATGGTTGGCTCTCAAAAGTTGGACTTGTTATGACTTCCAGGACCTTCCAGGAACAAAGGCAGCTCGGAAGGGCTTCTCTCTGACCAACTTCTGTGGGGGCATAACTCAAGTGGTCTTTCCCTGGTGGGATGCTCTCCCCCTCTTCCTTTGTTGACATGGAAATGGAAGACACATATTTGCAGGTTTACAGCTTCAATCGCTCTCATTCTTCTTACATGTTGGAGCAAGCACAGAAGACTTTGGGTGTGTGTCACGCTGCTGTACGAAAAAAGAAAAAAAAACGCAGATCAGAAGACGTGTATCAGCAATTCAACACTCCGTGGTGGCTTTTACCACCCACCCCACCCCCCCAAAAAAGAAAGAACCCCCCCCCACATCTCCTCGAAGCCCCACCTTCCTCCTGCTTGGCAGGGCAGAGGGAAAGGAAAACATCTGATCGGCCACTGAGGAGCAGAGCTAAATTTCCTCCCCTTGTCAGCTGATTATCTAATCTGGAGCACAAAAGGCAGGGCTGGGAAGGGGAGGCTGGGAGCCTGAATTTGCCCCCATCTTTGGAAAGAGTCTCTTTCTCTTGGGACTAACCTGGATGGGCTTCAGGAGCCACGTTGGAGTTGCTTGCAAGAGCTGCGGAGGAGACCTGGTGGGGTTGATGGGCGACTGGCTTAATAGCAGGACGGATTCCCTTCAGCTGCCCAGCAGGGCTCTGTAGCAACAGGGGCTGCTTGTCTCTTGAAAGGGGCTCCATGCCTACCTGAGCAAAGGTGGTTTTGCCTGGCTGAAAAGCAGAGCCCAATAGAAAGGCTTGTCCTGTTCCCTTCTTCTCTCTCCGTCTGACCTCGTTGTCCACCGGAGCCCGTCTGTAGAACAGAAGCCTCTGGCCTTTTCGATCTGGTGACCTAGACAGGTGTGGGTCTACAGTCCCCATCACCCCCTGCCACCAGGAGGAAAGCTAGACTGAACATGTCCTGGCTTCCTGTTGGAAAGTTAACCGAGATGGTCCCAGAAGAAGGAAAACTCTGCTGTGTGGGGAAACCTTTAAGGCACGTCTGGGCTTTGTGTAAGCGAGCATCTTGCTGGATCAGATCAGAAGGTCTGTTTCTTTTACCTTCTGTGTAGAAAGGGGAACACCCGGATTCCTCTAGGAATCTCTTCAGAGGGACGGGAAAACGGGAGCTCTTTCTGTGACTTGACTGGCCATTGACAGACCTTTTTGCTAGCTCCATCCATTGTACTAATAAAGGAGAATATTTGTAGCTCAGGGTTGAAACGAGGGGTCCTTGGTGCTCTCCGAGCTTTCTTGCTTTCTTGCAGACGTTTCATGACCAAACTAGGTAACATCGTCAGTGCCAGTGAAGTGTTGACTAGCACTGATGATGTTACCTAGTTTGGGTCATGAAATGTCTGCAAGAAAACAAGCAAGCACCAAGGACCCCTCCATCCATTCTGTTGGATTAGAATGTCGCACAGATCCAGCCGCCCAGGGGTTAGGGCACCCCATCACAAGCCATGGCAATGTTGAACTAAGGCTGCTGGCCTCCATTGAAACCAAAGCCTGGTCCAAGCAATGGCCCTTCTTGAATTTGGGGGTCTGGTAGTGCAAAGGTATGTGAGAAAGACCTGGAGGGGCCGTGGGGACGTGAGATACGGCCAAGGGGTGAGCCAGATAAGGGTCAGCATGTATCGTGGGAACGGCAAGACGCTCAGAAGGGATTCTCCCTGGTTTCTCAGGCTGTATAGGAGACTGAAGGGGAGAACTGTCCTTTCAGACTTGCAAGGCTCTGTTAATGTAGCCTTACAATAAAGTAAAATTAACTCAATTGGTTGTGTTTCCTGAATGGTCTACCTAGGAAGGCCGACTGGTAGCAACAATTTTATTAAAAGGCATCAACTTTCATAAGTTAAGGCTCTCCTTCTTCGTTACCCTTTTTCTTTCTTCTCTCCTTCCCTCTAGAGCTTGCATACGACCTGGACGGAGAAAGTACCGCTTCAAACAGGCAGCTTGTGAATCAGCAGAGCAAAGAGTCAACAGGTCATAACCTCAGTGCCAAGGATCCAGCCCTGAATTTTCAACTAGCAGGCACTGTCCTCATATTCTGGCTTTTTCTGATGGCCAAATGACTTGAACTCACCCTTGGCCACAGTCCGGGGTGAATCCATTATCAGTTTGCATTGCGAAAATGCCCTACGAATCTTTCTTGCCTTTCAGAGGCACTTGAAAAGAACAACTTCAGAAATATGACTTAATTTTTTTTTAAAGACAAAAACATTTCCTGAAACAAGTTATTTGAGGTCTGGCCAAAAAGACCCAGGGCTTGTATTTTGAAGAATTCTCGTTCAATTATTATGACAGGGTTAAAAATACTCAGATTGTATCACCTATGAATTTTGTAAAAGTTTCCCCCCCTGCTGTTTAGGATGGCAAAAGCACACAGCATCCTCAGTGAATCAGAATGAGCAAAGTTACTGGATTAAACACCATCAGACATTTTTTTAAAAATTGTTTTGGTCTTGAGATCAAAACCCAACCTGAAGGAAACCGATCCAAAACAGGAAATGGCTCTGCAGCCTGCAAATTTTGATCTGGAATCTGCATTAGCCATTGTATTAATATTGGTGGCAAACCTGACTTCAAGGTGGCCATTTGAATTGACTTAACACTGGATTCTTGTTATGAATGAGCTGTGTATTTATTTTTTAAAAGCTAGCCAATTTTAGACAGGCTCTCCGCGGCAGAAGTGCCCATAATTTTTTAGACAGGGCTAATGCGATTCCCCCGGTGTGGCTGATGTGAGCACGGCAGAAAATACATCGTTGCAGAGCGATTGTCCAGCTTCAGAAGATGCTCAGATGTTTTCCAGAAAGTCAACAGGATCAAGCATGCTTTTCTATTTTTATTTTTTATTTTTTTAAAAAAACTACTCTGTATCACTTTGTCTGTTAATAGATTGTGTTCTAAGCCTGTCTGTTGAGCATGGAAAAATGGGAATCTCTCAGAGGCCCCCACAGCCTCTCTTTGGCTGCTCTGGAGATTTTTTTTCCCCCCTTTCTTTTTTAGACTCTAATTTGCATCGGAAATATGAAGAGCTGGGAACAGAGAGGACTGTTTTTTTCTTCTTCTTTTAAAAATAAATAGGTCCTACCATCAGTCGGAGGCTGTTGATCACATGCTTGGCTATCTTGCATTTGAGTGTGTGTGTGTGTGTGTGTTTGCACATGTACCTCTGCCTGTGAGAGGAGGAAATAGTTGTTTTGAAACTTACGGAATAAGTGCAGCGTTATCACTGTGAGTTGTTTTTTTTTCAACGCACCTTCTGCATTTTAATTCCAGCTTTCCTATTGCTAAGAGAAGGAGAAGGAGAAGGAGAAGGAGAAGGAGAAGGAGAAGGAGAAGAAGAAGAAGAAGAAGAAGAAGAAGAAGAAGAAGAAGAAGAAGAAGAAGAAGAAGAAGAAGAAGAAGAAGAAGAAGAAGAAGAAGAAGAAGAAGAAGAAGAAAATTTTTTTTTTTAAGTGGGAACAAATGTCAGCAGAGGCAGATATATCGGGGTGATGCCATCGAGCTGGTTGGAAGACGTTCTGTGGTGCGATTATGTTTTTCCTTCCTTTGCGCATCTTTTTGGGGGCATTTGGAAAGGCGTGGGTGGCAGCATAGAAAAAATCTCAGCTATTGAAGTTAAACTGCATTGAGGGCTTTGCAGAGAGCAGACATGGGAAGGTGTCAGTCTAGACCAGGTATGTCAAACTGCCGGCCCGCGGACCAGATGTGTCACGCCGAAACCGCGCCCACCCCACTGCCGGCAATGGGGAAAAAGTCATGATACATCGCGCGACGACTTTTCTTGCCATAGTTTTTAAGTGAATCACTGCAGTCAAGTCAGTAATATGTTTGCTAAGTGATCCTAGCTTCTGCATTGCCTTTGCTTGTCAGAAGGTCGCCAAAGGGGATTGATTACATGACCCTGGGACACACTGCGACCGTCATAAATACGAGTCAGCTGCCAAGCAGTTTGAATTTTGATCACGTGACCCTGGGGGGGATGCTGCAATGGATGTTAACGGTTGGCTAAGCAGCGGAGTAAGTAAGAATGGAGTAAGTAAGACTAGCCAATCTGCTTCTCTGCTCTCCTCCTGCACCGCATGGAAAGCCGGCTGTCAATACAGCTCAGTTAAACTCGGGAGGCAACTTTTTTCAAACACTACAGGTGTTTCTAAAATTTAGGCTCAACCTGAGTCAGAATGTAGTTGGCTGGTTTTTGGCTTGGCCACCATGTGGTTCGTAAATTGAATCAGCCTAGCCTGAAGATGTGGTTCAGTCAACAAGCTGCGATTCAGAACATTGTGACTTGGGACGTTGTGTGAACCCAGCCTAAGGAAAGAGCACACTTCGACCCAGTTTTAACTTCCAGTAGCCTGCAACAGACCCCACGCTCACCGTCCCGATAGTGATCTGCAAATGTCCTTGTGGCTTCCATTGACTTTTGCACACAGGCACAAGCACCCAGAGATGCGTGCACACACGCGCGCACTCACACTTACTCTTACTTATCTGGGTAATTACTAATCCTCTTTGCAAGCAGCAAAGCCATTGATTACTTTAGACAGAACAAGAAATGGGAGTCATTATTCCTTATTATAAACCGGTCCTAAACCAGCCGTCGCAGCCAAAATCCTGAGCATGCAAACAAAGGCCTGCATTTTGTCAGCGTCCAAGTATATTATTAAAAGGAAAAAAAGAAAAGTAAGAAAAATCAACTCCCCGTGAACAGACACCAGAGAAATTGTTTAATTAGGGCCATTAAAATCAGCGACGTGCATTAACAGAATGACCTTCCTCTTGGTGCAACATGGTCTTTGAGGTGCATCTACGGGCAAGGAAGCCTGGCTGGCTCGTGCCCCCGTGTGTTGCCTTGGAGGGGGGGAGCTAAGTGCTGTCAATCCCATGGCCCCCTCCCCAAAGAAGAAAGCCTCCATCTGGACTGCATTTTGAAGCAAATGCCGAGCGTTCTTGTATTAATTTGAGCTTTCTGCCAAATGCATTCCTTGGGGAAGAGCAGATGTGGAAAAGTCAAAGAAGCAGATGAAGGAGTGCAGACATGCCGGGTGGGGTGGGGGGGTCTGTACCACTCGGAGGAAACGCTACTGAGGTCTTTCTGGAATTCCCACACACTTGGGTGGCTTTTCCCAGTGTTGATGGAAAAGCCGGTTTGGAAGAGGAAAGCTGGTGAGATCCTTCAGTGGCGGAGCTGGTCTCTCTCTCTCTCTCTCTCCTTCAGCCCAGCTCTGGTTTGCTGGCCTTGGTGGGCAAATAATAAATGAACAAAGCTGGCTGGCTCTGAGGTGCCCAACAAGCTCTCTGCCAAAGGTGCTTTTTCCAAAAGGCAACTGGACTTCCTTGATTTTTCTCCTTGAAAACGTTTCACTTCTCATCCAAGAATTCAGCTCTTCAGACCTGAGGAAGCTTCTTGGATGAGAAGCAAAACGTTTCCAAAGGAAAAAACAAGTCCAGTTGCCTTTTGGAAAAAGCACCTTTGGGACAAGCAGGACCTGGAGGACTGAGAACCTCCCTAGACATTCAACAAGCCATGGTGAAATGTTGTGTGTCAACCCAGCCGAGTCGGGGATCAAAGCTTCTTCGCCTTGATATCTTCTCTGTATGGAGATGTCCACCATCTGAGGTGAGGTTGAGGTGGAAACACGTCCTGGATGCATCCTCAGGAGAGGGCTGTGGAACTGCTGTGGAAAGCAAGTGGTAGGGGGCCAACCTGCTCAATGCGGTCCCTTCTTTGCTTGCTGTTCAGCCCCAAACAGCTACTACCACTTTGGGGTGGGGGCCTAAGGTCTCCGCGGGGTGTGCGTGTGTGTATGTGAGGATCAACCTAGAACAACAATGGGCAATTGCACCCTCCTGTCAGGTTCCAGTGGTGAATTTTATCTGCAGAGCCAGTTTTCACCACAGACAAGACCATTTTTAAGGAGAGATTGGACATCCATTTGTCCGGAATGTCAATGGGTCTCCTGCTGATGCAGGGGATTGGACTAGAAGACCTCTAAGGTTCCTTCCAACTTAATTATTCTGTTCTGTTCACCTGTTCACAAGCTCCACCTGTGTTCAGGGTTCCAAAATGTTTTTGCATAAATGCAGGTTGGTTGTTGAGTATCAAAATGTGGCCATGCAGCCTGTGGTGATGGGGCGGCTGTCGTAACTTTGAATCTGGTCAGTAAGACCCTTTTTCAGGATTTGTCTTAATTTCAAACAGTCGCTAAATGGCTAGCTGTGAGCTGAGGACGCCCTGCATGGGGAAAGAAGCCACGTTCTTTGCGGTTTCCCCTTCACTGATGAGGCTGCGCAACTCGGAGTGCTCCTGACGATGGAACTGCGCATGTATTTGTGTGATATTTCCAGGCTCCTGCCCATTCGCTGCCCCCTCCCCACTTTCTGAGCCTTTTTTTCTTTCTCTCCTCTGAACCTCCTTCCTTTGATCTGGAGCTGGGTGAGGTGGATGAAAATTGATCTTGCCCGCCGCTTGGAGAAGGAGATCAAAGCGGCAGCCTGCGCCCTGGCGTCCATCCTCAGGGTTTTAAAAGGGCATTTTCTGTGGCGGGGCGAGGAGGGCAGAGGCCTGCCAGCTCCCTGCACTTGTCTGGGTGAGTGATGAGTGCTTGGAAAAGCTTCAGAGAATGTCGTTGTCCCAGCCGCGTTCCTAAGATTATCCTCCGAGCAGCTGCGGGTGGACCAGGGAAGGGCCCTTCCTTGCTGAGCGCCCCCCTTGCAGCAGATCGCTTGTCCATCCAAGGGCACCAAAGGAGGTCGGCTTCGGAAATGTGGGCAGGAGCAGCCGTGGTGATGGCAGTCACGCCAGGAAGCTGGGATGGGATTCCATCCACCGTCCCTCCTGAGCCACCATTAAGTGCTCAACGTTGGGACCCAGAACTCTGCTTTGGAATGAAGAATGGCTGCGTTCTCTTGACCCAGAAGCCACACCAAGGGGGTAAGATGATCCTTGCAACAGGAGGAAGGAATGTCTCCCCCAGCAGCTTTCCATAGATCTCCAAAGCTGCCCTAATCTTCGGACCACAAAAGTTGGCCCGGGGAACAGTGTCACTTTCCCTTGCGATGCCTTTCAACGTTCCTCGCGGCTGTCATCTCCTTGGCCATCAGCTCTTGAAAGAGGACACGTGGCGCTCTTAGGATGGAAGCCGTTGGGCTATGCTATGTATG